ATACAAGTTGACCACTTAGAACTGTACTTGGAACTTGAACCAAGTTGACAACACTTGAACTTGAACTTCAAATGAAATTGAACTAGACTCAACCAAGAACTTGAATGAATATGCAAAGACTCCAGAAGATAGTGAACTTTGACATTGAACTAAAATTTGCAGATATAGAACTTGAGCTCGGACTTGAACAAACTGCAAATGACACAAACTTGATTTAAGCATCCAATGAACTTAAACTTGCATTTGATTTAAAATCTAATGATAAGAACAAATGAACCAAGTGTCATGGGCATAAGCTCAAAATGGACTCATGCTTGAACTTTACAAGTTTTGGACTTGAAGAAATAAACATGAATTGAACTCAATTTGGACTTGGGGCATTGAGTTAGTCAAATTCAATATATCTTATGATTTGGCATATATTCAAATGAACACTAATAGAAGAGCAATAGTGGATTCTATTGGAAGAATGAATAAGATGTGAATGGAACTGTCATTCCAAATGCAATTCAATGGAAAGTCACAATGTTTGATCAATCATATGCAAATGATAATATCTCTTATAAGCATATGTAAAGAAAGAGAGCGGTGGTGCAAAGAAGAAATGTTTGAAGATTGCTCTCCTACAACCAACACAATCTTCTTACAAATGGGGACCAAAATGAAGGGGTACCAATGAATATTGAAGAGCGATACATAAGCATATATGATCTTCTCTTCTTCAAGTAGAAAGATTTTATATGTAATGATATGATATAACCAAATACATTCAAAGGAATATGCATGAATGTCAACAAATAGATGGGAAATTCATGACATATAAAGGATACAATGAATGTGATTTTTCCATAAAGAGAAAGATCAATTGGGAGGATACAACAATATGCTTGCAATCAATCTACAAGATTTATAAGAAATAACAAGAAGTTATCATATTGGTTGGAATACTAATTGACAACCAATAATAATGTAGATGATATCATTCACATTACAAATCAAATGATGATTGACCCATGGTATTTGTCCTGATCATCCAAATGAAGGTAAGCATATGAGCAAGAAATGTAAGATGAATGAGGAACAAATTCTTAAAGGTTAGACAAATAAAGCTTGACAAAATTTAGATACCTCAGATCATTCAAATGAGATAGTATCCAAGCAATGACCAAAGATTAAAATATGAAATAAATGCCAGATGTTTATGTCATCAATAACACTGTAACATAAACATGTACATTCAATTCTATGAGTAGTGGAATGAACTCAAAGCATACACAACGGTTCTATTCACAACAAGTGCCGAAGCATGTCATGCCAAATATGAAGGTCATTTATGAATACAAATATATACATCAAACTATTCATGAATGATGATGAGGGGAATCTAATGAATGCTACATTAACTTAATAATCAATCGCTAATCAATATTAAGTAACTATATTGATCTGTTAAGAGCAAAGGGTTATGATACTACAACCAATACAGACCTTTGTGATAAAAAATAGGAGATTAGTTAGTGCACTACGATCCACCTACAAAAAACAACGAGTAGTGCACGACAGTCTACCTGTACGAAGCAACGAACAATTCTATTCAGAAGCTGCTGCGCCACGCCACCGGATCTGCAACACTCATACGAGCAGACAGAAGGCATCCACAAGACTACAATGCTAAACCACCGGATCCGCAACATTCGTATTAGCGGACAGAAGGCATTATGTAAATATTCTAAAAATACCCCCGCATATGCACCATAGTTTATATACACATAGGTACACTAAAAGGGGTAAAGCAATCATAGAACCCGCATGGGCCCTAGCAAGCATGTTATTGGTACACAAGTGACGTCTGGGGATGCTGCGCGGGTTATCAAATTTTGAACCCGATCCTCCTAAGCAGATAAAAGGAGTGGATAGGGTTCAATTATAAAATGCACCCAAACACCCGCATGGGCCCCGGCGAGTGTGTTATTGGTATACACATGACGTCTAGGGATGCTACGCAGGTCAATAAGTGAATTCAAGTTTGAACCTGATCCTTCTATACTGGTCAATAGAAGTCGGCATGGTTCGAACCATCAAAAAAACATATGGCCGTGGCGACCAGAATATTTGTTTTAATACATTCATATTAGGCTTTCAAGGCCTACAATCAATATAATTCACTATCAAGGGCATAAAGCCTATAAAACCTGATCCTCTGTCGACAGTTGATAGAGTTCACAAGGTTCAATCAAATGGAAATGACCCCCAAACACCCCGATGATAGCCGTATTGATTGGTTATCTCAACCGGAGGGATTCACAAATACTTTCAAATTCCATCCAAATGCCAGAAAATCTAAACTCCACAAACTCCAAATCCAAAAACCCAAAAAAACCAAAAATCATCCAGAATCTAAAAAATTCCAAAAATATTTAAAGATGGAAATCTAACCATTAAACACTTAAAGCAAAATTCATCCGCCCTCCGTAACAGTTTGCCGAGGCGGGCAAATTAAAAACTACATCAGCTCACAAAAGGGCCAAATGCCTAGTCAAAAATATCACTAGGATCCATTCTCAAATAATCTCCTACTAATAAGGACGTGGTACGTGTCCTCTAACCGGTAGTTTGCCGCCAAATGGCACTGCAGGTAAACGGTTATGACCCGGGGCCCTCTGAACCGAGTGGTTTTGCCGCCAAATGACACCACGAAATACCGGTTATGGCCAGCGCCATTGCGTTACTTATTGGCATCAAATCCTTGAGATATGAATCAATAGGATATGATCAATAGAGCACAAAGCCCTCTGTAAGCTAAGGTGGATTCAAATTTGTCCCCTTAGACAAATACCCACCCCAAGTCTAGTCCCCTTGGACGAAGCAACCCATAGCTGCTGACAATGATCCTTCTGTCAGGTGACCTCCTTTGACTAAGTAGACCAGGGATCACGATGGCCCGGGACGACGGAACCATGGGATCTTGATTGGGTCTATCATCCATTCCCCCACCATCCGCTTTAAGTATAAGATGGTGCAATTTCAAGTTTTAAATATCAAACTCTTCAAATTTCAAAATATCTAATCTTTCAAATTCCTAACCCAGTGCTGCTACTATATTCCAGATACACGTGTTCTCTACGTATCTGAGTGACGACTAGCCTTAATCAAAAGTTCTCTCTCGTGATCGGGAGAGATAATTAACTATAGGGGCTTGCGCCTATAGGAAACCAGAACTCAGATCATAAAGTCCTCATAAAATGAGGGCAAAATCTCTGGGTAGTGTCTTATCTACAAACCCATCTGCCTTCCAAAATTTACCTCAGAACTTATTCCGTTAAAACTCCCTCGCCGAATAAAAAAAAAAGCGGGCGGAGGCCGGGGCCGAATTTTTGGAGCCCACAAGTTTCAGCAGTATTATCTTCACATTGTATTTATAATGCCCTTTCTCATACTTCTTGATATATGGTGCTGGAGTCAAAATCTTTCTGTGCATGTTATGACCTATTTAGAAGTTTTGAATTATGACATTAATATTTCCTAAAAATGCTTCAAAGCACAGGCAATCTTATCCTTCATGATTTGTTTTATGTAGAAAACAGAAGCAAACCTAATTCATCTTTTGAATGGCATAGTTTGAAGAAAAATGCCTTCTTTCTTGGGCTTTGTAGTACTTGAGTTTACAACTCTTGATTATTATGTTTTATGTCATGCCTTGTCAGGAACATGGATAACTATTTTTCGCTGGGTTTACAGCATGAAGTAAATTATTAGTGGTTGTGCACAGCATGCTATGCATTATGCCCTTTTCATCTTTTTAGAATTGATTTTACAAAACTTACAGGAGCTGTCCCGTTGATCTAAAGGAACCAATATCTAGTGTGATATTTGCCACATCTTCACAGGAGCATCTCATTGTGACAAACTCTTTCCCATACTCCAAGGTGTGCAGATATACCAGAACTTATGGATGCACGTAAGCAGTTTGTGGCAAAGTATGGGAAAGAGTTTGTCACATCAGCACTTGAACTTCGACCAGATTGTGGTGTATCTTTCCAATGATAAGATTGCTTTAGTTAATAAATTTATTTGGCCCCCATTTGAATTTGTTAATGTTTTCTATTGGTTGCCAAATATTTTGCCTTTTCTAATAAATGTAGAGTATTGAGAAATTATCAGCAAAAACACCTGACAAAGAGACGAAAATGAAGATACTAACTGCAATTGCTAAAGAGCATGATGTCAAATGGGATTCAAAGGCATTTGACGAGGAACTTCAGAAACCTAAGGAGGACCTCTTAGTTTGCATTGCTGATTCAACTTTAATCTATTTATTAGTTTTAAGCTTTAGCTTGTAAAAATTGAAGTTTTTTTTTCTGCTATTTTGTAGAATGGTTCTAGCAGTTTTGGCGGTGCCACCAAGATGTCAATGGAGCCCTTAAATATCAATTTTCCTCCAAAAGTCAACCAGGTTGAATCAGCCTCAAAACTTTATCAAACTGAAATACCAAGCAAACCGACTAGTTTTGACTCTTCTCATGCTAACTTGAGATCAACCCCTCTTGTACCACCACCTGCTTTAAATGATTCCAGGGAATCAGGCGAAGCAGAAACTACTTCCCTATTGGTTACTACAAAGTAATGGGTATTACTAGTTCATTTGAGGTTTGATGGTTTTACTATTGTTGTTAACAGAAGGGAAAGCTGGGGTGCCGGAAGTAAGGGATTCATATCGAAGTGAGGGCACCACTTCTTTCAAACATCCAATTTTGAAAATGGAATTTGATGATGCATCCTCCATTGCTCAGGTGGCTGCAGAATCTGCAGAGAGGGAACATTTCCAGACCTGCTGGTGAACTTGCAAGTAGAGGGAACATTTCTAGACAGAACTCTATTGAGTCAAATGTAACAGCTTTGCTTAGTTGCAGAGATGAAAGGCTAAATATTTATGTAACAACTTTTCATTTTGGAGAAGAAAATAGATTGGTGCTTTTTACGAAATCGATAAATTTGGTAAATGATGTTCCCTTATTATTCTTTAAACTTTGATAGTGTTTTTTTTAATATTTTGTTTTTGTAGGCTAAATATTTATGTTAATTACTTGTAGAGACGATAAAAATAGATATTGAGTTCGAAAATTCTCTTCAGATTTCAATCTCTATTTCTAACCTATATCTTATTTGTGATATCTCTACAAGATTTGAAGAGACAAAGATTTGTAAATCACTTTACCTTTTATATTTGAGTAATTCAGTCAATGCATTTCTTGACTTTTTTAAAATATTTATATGTTAACTATGTAGATAAACTACATCTTTTGGTTTTTTTTGGAAGAAGCACAAGGCTGACTTTTTATAAATCAAAGGAAACGAACTACAAACTAATAGCACCACTTGATTCATCCTTTAACAAATTATAGAACAAGGAAAGAATCTTATTAGAGGATAAATCCTCCCAATAAAAATTACTACAAATGGCGTAGCTAACATAGAGATTTGCTAGTTTATTACATTCTCTTTTTACCCAATTAAAAAAAATTAACTTATGATCCTTCAACAATAAAAGATCATCTTTCCACTTATCTTCCAAGCCTTGCAAATATTTGATCACATTATAATTGTCTCCCTCTATAATAACTCCTTGACAATCTTGGAAGCGATCCTTCTTGATCTATTTTATGAACTGAACCGAGAAAAGCTCAAGAGAAGCAATGTCCCAATGTATACAAGAATGACCATATGCCAAATGCAATCTTCCTTTACTATCTCGAATAATACCACCAATATCGGCCTTATAAGTTTTTAATAAGGAAGCATCCACATTAATCTTTATCCAATTGGGAGGAGGAGGGTACCAATGATCTGACAGTCTAGAAGATTGATTCGTACCCCAGTGTCCCATTTTTCCTTCAGCCATAAAGGAAATGGAGGCCAGATTTACTGAATAAGAAGCTAAGAACACCAAATAATCTTCTTTTTCACCATGAATTAATTTATTTCTAGAATTCCAAGTAAGATATACTGCATTGCAGTAAACATTCACCATGAATCATTATTTGTTGTGATTCTGTTCCATCCACCTCCAGCATGATTGAAATGAATCAAAATACTTAAATTTAAATCCACATTTAATCAGACAGCCAATAACATCCTTGATTTTTTCACAAGTCATCGTGATATGATCAATATTTTATGTATGGCCACAACCGCTTGGATAGCTAAAATTCTCCTGGAGTCTTCTCTGATAGAAGAAATCATATGTAGGTAATGCATTGTTCAACAACCTCCACCAGACTTCAACACGAGATCCCAACTTAGATTTCTTCAAGCATCTCCAGAACACACAATCCTGCTCTTGCATCAATAAACTTCTATAAATCAGTGAAGATATTGTACAAACCAAATTCTGGTGGATTAGCTCTAAGTAATCACTGTCTTAATCCATATGAATTTTTATCATCATAATGATATTTATAAGCTCCTCCCCAAATAGCTTTTTAAGCTTCATTACTTTCCGTTCACCATTTAAAATCAAACAGTCCACTGTTTCCTCCTCTACGTCTTGGACTGAAACATATGTTGGCCATAAGCTCAGTTTTTTATCTAGATTCTAGATATCTTCAATGATGTTGATAGAACAACTATTTGTAACTTCCCATTTTACAGTAGATTTTAGAGCCTTTTTCCGCTTGATAAAATTTTACATGTTGATGATGATACACCACCGGTCAATGAATCCTCCCGCCACTTTCCATTTTTTTGGTTTAAAATTTGATACAACAATGAATCCTTCTCCTGGGTAACTCTCCATTCTAACTTTGCTCTTAAAGCATCCACACTATCCACACATGATCGAATAAATCTCCCACATAGGTCCATTGGTTTGCACAATTTGTTCCAGCTAACATAATGCAAACCCAATTCCCCATCTTGTTTATTCCAAATAAACTGTCGGCAAATTTTTTATACATCTTTTAGAATGCTCTTTAGAACTAATGAAAAAATGCAATAAAAGTTTGAAATAGAGAACAGAGTTGTTTTGATCAGCAACATTTTACCTGCCAGAGAGAGTTGCTTGCTACCCCAAGCCATCGTGAGCTTCAAAGCTCTCTCCATAATTAAATAAAAATATGCAGCTTTTAACCTTCTCAATGCCAATTTAACTCCCAAATACTTGAATTCTTTAACCAGTTTAAAGCCCATTATTCTTTCAACAACTTTTCTCTTCCTTCTTACATGTCTACCGAACAACATAAGAGATTTTTCAAAATTTATTTTCTGCCCTATCCAGCTAAAGAAATTCGTAATTGCCTCTTTGACTTTGCTAACTTCTTTAACATTAGCATGTGAGAAGATAATGATATTGTCTACATATAAAAGAAGAGATACCTTTGGCAAATTTCTACCAATTTGAATACCCGTTGCTGCCTTATTTTGCTTGAACCGATTTGTAAATAGCTCAGCACATTAAATGAATATATAGGGTGATAGAGGGCACCCTTGTCGAAATCCACTCTCCGCATGAATCCAACTAGAAATCTTTCCATTAATGAGTAAATAAAATCTTGGAAATTCCACACATTCCATAATCCATCTAGAGAATTTCTATGGAAACCCAAAGTATTTTAAAACACTTTTAAGAGTGTTCCAACTCATGCTATTATATGCTTGTTCCAAATCAAGTTTAAATGAAACCAAACCTTTTGAAGATCTTGAACTTTTGAATTTTTGAAAAGCCTCCTGTGCCACTAGAATATGATCCCCCATTAATCTTCCATTGATAAATACAGCTTGCTTCACCGACACCACTTTTTGAATTATCATTTTTATTCTATTCAATAGAATTCTTGCTACCACCTTGTAAATAGAACTACACAAACTAATAGGTCTATAATGACTCATTATTGTAGGTACCACAACCTTCGGAATGAGATCCAGAATAGTCTCTTTCCATTCAGCATTCATACTTCCCAAATTAAAGAATTGGTTAACTGCATACAACCAATCCTTCTTGATTATGTTCCAATAAGATTTCATGAAGGAGTATGAGACTCCATCATTTCCAGCTGCTATGCTGTCATTTTTTCATAAAACAACCATCTACTATTCATCCATAGAAAGCTCTTTGATTAAACTTTCTTTATCCTCCTCATCAATCAGCCTATTAGGACAAGGCCAGCCATCCAGATATCCCTATCTTTTTTTCCATTTCCCATTGAAAAATTTTAGAAAAGCTTCAGAAATTTGATTCTGATCCTTAGTAATTATTCCATCTTCATTCTTAATTTTATAAATGCAATTTGAGTTCTTCCTTGCTGATGTATACGAGTGAAAGAAGCTTGAGTTAGTGTCTATCTTCTTCATCCACCTTACTTTCGCTCTTTGCTTCCACCATGTGTTCATCCGAGCCAGAACTGTATTAAATTCTACAACATGTAATCGAAGGATGAAGACTTCCTCCTCTATCAGCCATCCAACCTCCACCTCTTTAGTTTGAAGTTCCAAAATTTTGGACTTCAGGAATACTTTTTGCTGATAAAACTGTTTGAATTTAGCTCTACTCTAGAAAAACAGTGCCTTCATAGTTTTCCAAATTTATAATTCAACCCTTATGCATAATCTCCACTTGTCTTCTTGTCCCAAGCTGCTTTAACCACTCCAACTGAGGCTGGATACGAAGCCCAATCTTCCTCAAACCTTATAATTTGTCAGATGCAAAATTAACTTCCAAGAAATCGAATATGATAGGGCAATGATCTGATGCAACCCTTGTCAAATGCCTCACCAACATCCGATTGATCTTCAAAGCAAATGGATTAACATAGCATCTATCCATCCTCTATATGATTCTAGCATTGCTATTTTTTTTTTATTGCACCAAGTGAATCTTGTTCCAACAATATTTACTTCATGAAGGTCACATCTTGCTATGAATGTGCTCATTTCTCTAGCTCGTTGAGAAAATCAAAATGGTCTTCCTCCTCTCTTATCTTCTTTAGCCAAAATATAACTAAAATCACCCCCAACCATTAGGGGATTACTGTTAGAGCCAAACTTCTCCAGCTTATCCCACAGGATCCTTCTGTGAGACACTTATCTACCACCATAAACCATGGCGATTCTCCACTTCCCCATTTTTATGATTTCAAGGTCTCCTATAACAGCTTGATTTGAAGTAAATAAGCAAGTAAAGGAAGCTAACTTGGACTTCCATAATGTCAAAATTCCTCTAGATAAATCTACAACAGGTACTTGAACAAAATCCCATTCATTGCCAATAAGGCTGTCAATTTCAGGTTTGCTAAAGTTTGAGGCTTTGGTTTCTAAAAGCCCTACAAAAAACACCTTGTTTTGTTTCACCACCTTCTTCAAATATAGAGAAGCCTCTTTTTTCCTAGATCCTTTACAATTCCAAAACTTAATCGAAGCCATTTAATGGATAAAAAGGGAAGAACTTCCCTGTTTTTCCTTCAACTAATTTTCCAATTTCCTTCCTCTCGGCAACAACTTAATAGGACCAAGACTTCTAATCTCCTTGGATAGCTTAGTCTTGATGTTGGACAAACCACCTTCATTGAATTCTTCTTTCACATTTCCAACACATGCCTTAGGAGAACAGCCTTCTTTATTCACCTTTGTAACTAGAAAAGGTTTAACAACATCTATCTCACCTTTCCCTTCGTCCTTCACAGTCCCAACCTTGTCATTTTCAACTATCTGCATAACCTCCTCCTCCACCATATTACTAAGAATAGAAAATTTATTAGCTTCTAAAATGATTCATTAATATCTCAAGGCTCTATAATTTTCAAAGATTTATCTATGTGTCGTGTTTAGAAACCATCTTGTCAACAGGTTCAGCTTCCCTTTCTACCTCAGCAGTTTCAACACTTTCAACAATCTTCTCTCTGAATTCTTTCTTTGTCCACTGATTCAAAATGTTTTTGCTTGAAGTTCTGTCTACCCCATACTTCTTTCCATGAAAACCATTCCCATTTGAATTTTTTTCTTCCATAGC